GCAAAATCCGCAATGTCGTAGGCTAGGGCCGCATCCACGGCTGTGTTGAATGTCCCCACTCCTTGGTGCATCATCTTTCTTCCACTCCTATTGTTTTCTATTTGTATTTTGCCACGGCTGCAAACATGATTGAAAAGAAAGAGAAAAAAGAGGGATGCTTATGAGGGGCAAATGTTGAATTTAGATCTGTGGTGATAAATTTACTTTTGTTCCAACCTTATATTTCTATGGAGAACCAAAGCAAGTAGAATTCTCAAGATGGTACTAATTACAACACTGATGCCAACCATACGAAGTAACTTAAAAACACTAGTGATGAAACCTAATGTAGTACCTAGAGAATGGTTTGTTGTTAATGAAGTTGCACTCACCTCAAATGAGATTGAAAACCTTGAAAAATTTAATTTCAATCTTGAGAGGAGGAGAGTTGGAGACATGATTGACAAAACTAACACTATTCTTATAAGGATGCATAAGAGTGCAAGGAAAGGTAAGATAGTTAAATTTATTAGTATTATCTACAAACAAAAGCAAGGTAAAATAAATTTCACTCTAACATTTGAGTATAAAATTTTCTCCATGAAATATATCATTACTCTTGCAAAGGAGTATATAGTTAAAACAGAGTGGAGAGTACACAATTGCTATTTAAGATTTTCTTTTTTGCACATGTCTAAACTTTACTAAACGCGACGAACATAGGAAGGCATATGCTTTTTACAAACATATATAATAAAATTTCATTAACACTTTATACCAAAATCCTAGAATAGAAATTCACATACCTACACAAACTTTACTATTGCTGAATTGTAGAAAACTTTTAGAGCTAACTAGATTTTCCAAGACTATCAATCTCTATCAATGATATAAATTTAGTATACTTTATTTATGTAATTACTAAAAATTATACTTTTCATTTAATATACTTATGAATGTTTCTTTTGCAATACTACCTATAATACTCGTGTGTCTCCATTTCTATCTTTACCATCTCGAAAAATATTTCATGATAATCTTTTAACAGAGTGATGTTATAGTGTGTTGTGAGAGAATATATTGTTATATTGATTATTGCCATTGTTTCTACTAAAAGCCAGAAAACAAATAAGCATTTCTTGAAAGTCATGGAATTGCAATTTTCTAAAACAAGTAGGAAGGCATTTTTCTACACTTAATTTGTTACACCCTCTATTATTACATTTATTTCCAACTCGTGATCACTATCCTCTATTTCTTTCTCATGTATGGTTTGATTATATTGTATAATGGGACAACTATTGCAACTTTTAGCACTTGAATTATTACTTTAGGAAAAAATATTCTAAAAGTTAAAATTAGTAACACTAAAACCCATAAATATTTTTATTTCCTTCTCTTCAAATAAAAGTGCAAGTGAAGATTTATAAATTTTAAACACTATGTTATAAAAAACCTCTTATAAATGTATTCTAAAGAAGAACTAAATCTCTCTTTTATATGTAAAAATTTATTTCAATAATTGTTTTATTCCTTTCAAACAGTTACATGTCCTTATATAAATTTTTTATTTTAAATTTAATAATTCTTTAATTCTGAAAAACCTAACTTTTACTAGCCAGAAAGTATAGAGCACAAATTTAAGGAAGTGATAAGATTAATTTAAATTGTTAGAACAAGAATTATCCTTTAGAATATTTTTATCTATATAATATGTAGAGAGTTGATAACCTTAATATTTTAAAGGTTATAATATTTATATTAAATTACAATTGAAAATTAAGCTCAACTAGTAAGCTCAACTCTTCAACCCATGAGCTAAAAAATGGTCCATGCTTTTTAACACTTGCATGCTTTTGCTGGAAGCTTTGGGCCTTTTTCTAGATGGTCTTACAAGGAAAACTCTTTGAATTCTAAAGGCAATTCTTTGTGAACCAAATTCAAGCAAGAGACAAGCTTATGTTAGTCTTTTGTGACTATTTATATCTATATGCATAATTGATATACCATTAAGCTGAGAGTGTTTAAAAATATTCTAAATATTACCTTTGGATGGCTTAGATTGAATATAGTATGATCAACGGCTAATATTGATTCTGTGGTGTTTATAAAGAGTAAAAAACAATGGATTTCACCAAAAGAACATTAAGTCCTTCCCACTATATTTCTTTCTAATTGTTGAAGTAATCATGTTTCTAGTTGCTTTCAACAAGTGTGGATCCTCAAGTGGCTCTAAAGTGGTGCTAGGATCCATCACCAGATGCTGTTGGATTCCAACTTAGAGATTAGGAATGTGCTAATCAACATGTATGGGAGGGTGGATATCACAAAAGAGCTCTTCAATTATTTGGAGAGGAAGAATGTTATCAACTAAATGAGTTTGGTGTTAGTGTTTGTAGAGAATGGGAAAAGAAGAAAAAATTCTTCAATCCATGGCAATGAAGGGATAGAATTGGATAAAGCTACTGCTTCAACCAAGGCATTTGGACAAGCCTTTGTGGGATAACTTCCAGTCGTCCCACATGTATGTATTTGTGTAAGTGACTTAGTTATTACATTGTAAGCAACTAAAGGGAACGACTCGAGAGACGATCCATAGGGGTTCAAATATAGAGGGAAAGGGCCCATGAACAAAAGTGCACCCCCTTTTCCAATTGGTTAAGGGTTTTGAGATATTTGGGGTTAAGCGTCCTTGGGTGTGAACAGTACTGGGCTGGGTGACCTCCCGGGAAGTCCAAATTCAGGAGCTTACATACATATCCGGATGGCTTATGATTATATCATGAGAGTGGATTGGATTGTGAGATGGTGGTGGCTATTGCTGTTATGACTCAACACTAAATAACAAGATAAAGAGGCCTAACCTTGCTTAGATTATGTTTTACCTCCTTTTAAGGTTAAATTCTTTACCCTAAGAATATATCTTTGAATTTTCCTTTGACCCATATTGATTATATGGTCAAAGTTGGTGCATAACAATTCTTTCCTCAATAAAGTCCTTGTGTCAAGTACTAATGATCATCCTTTCTAGGGAATTCTGCTTAAGCTTTTCATCCATCATCCATAGTTGTATATATCAAGGATGCATTAAGAACTTTGAGTCTTGATCATTAATGATATTCTTTGGCAAACCAAAATTATAAAGGAGATTGTAGTCAAGTTTGAAGCAATGACAATCTTTTGAGCCAATAACTACACATACTTTATTAATTAATCCATACTTCTTTTACCTTTTGTAAGCTTTTGAATTTGGATATACTTTGTTAATTAATCCACACTTGTTTTGCTTTTTTTGCCTTTTTTAAGCTTCTTGAGAGATCATTCATCCCAGTATTATTCAAACTATTCAAACCCAAGGATGTTTAACCTCAAGTATCCCAAAACCTTTAACCAGTTGAAAAAAATGACGCACTTTTATTTATAAGCTTTTTTCTGTACAAAACCTTTACAAATTACTTTTTCGAGTTATGCACTTTGGTTTTTTACACCTTTATGCTCATAACAAACAAGTGATTAAGTCCATAAAAATAGTATACCAATAACTTTAAGGAATAAGAAAAAATTGCAAACATCCCCTTAGTTTCTCCCAAGGCATCTTTACTTATTGATAAAGTTCATATGAATTCCAATACTTAAGAATATTAACTTTCATATTCCTTCAATAAAAATTGTCCTTAATCAGTTTATATGTCTTCTTCCCCCCAAAATGGTCGGCCTATAGACAATCATAATAATGAAATAAAAGTTGATTAATCAATGCATCCACTCATGATAAATACATACAACCATTGTAATAGAGAATTCTATCTACTAGTGAGAAAGATACTTTTATTTGGGCTTGTAAATAAACCACCTTAGCATTCTGAGCCTTGGCACACTCAACTAACTACATAAACTTATTAATCACTTTACTTAAATGTATTGGTAAGTTTGTAAGTTCGTCACATGATAAATATAAAATAATGTATCCACCATTATATTCATTTCCCTAGATGATGCTTTTTGAAAACTCCCCAAACTCTATAAGTTTAATTATTTAATGAGTTTCTTAGTGTTCAATTCTTTTTATGTGAATAGAAACACAAGACATTTATGATCTATCAACATTACAAACATTGTACCATAAAGATAGTGCCTCCATGTCCACAAAGCATAAATAATGGAAAATAACTCTTGTTCATATGTGCAATATCATTGCTTCACAAGAGTCAAAGTCCCAAAAACATAATTGTTATTCTTGTCCCAACAACAAAAGTTCATAAGATCCCAAGAATAACATCCCAAAAATAAGATCTACAAGATAGATGTCTGTAAGATTAAACTTCTTTATGAGTGTGGTTTTGCCAACTAACATTTTTAGCCCTTCTACACAAATATCAAAATGTTATGATTAGTTTCACTTTCCATTGTATATGGAAGAACTTTTTGTATCACCAAATTGCGATTCTCAATAAACATTGCCAAATCAAAATTGTTATCACTCCCATTATTCTGTAAAATTCACAATAGACTACCATAGAATATGCCATCCAGTATTAAAGTTAATGCAAAAGTGTCTTTAGCCTCTATCATTTTACACATAATTATGTTGATAAGCAATGATCAAAATGTGCTAGTAAGGATGTCATAAGAGATAATATAATGTATGGAGGCTTGCTAGCCAAGCTCTTGTTGGAGATGGCTAAGAAGGACTTGGCATCATGGAACTTGGCCATTGCCACTTACACTTACCATGGACAAAGCAATGAGTGCATCAATCTCTTGGATCAAATGCAAGGAGAAGGAAAAGATAACTCACGAGAAGGTTGTCCAATGTGGATACAAAGAGGAAATGGTGGTGAGCTTTAAACACTAAAGCTTTAAGTTCACTTAGTCTCTTAGCTCTTTGCTATACTTTCCTGGAACAAAATTCATCCAAAAAACAGGATCCATAAGGTGCATTATTTAAAAGTTTATCAAGAGTCTTTAGTTAAGAAATAGAAAGAAGCAATATAATTTTCTCTTAAGTTTATCGTTGAGCCATGGTTTCTTCTACCTGGCAATGGAGGAAATTTGACGCGTCTCCATTGCCATCGCCACCAGTGCCTGGCATTCCCGCGATCGCGAGCCTTATCAAGCACTACTCCTCCAATCTCGCCGGCCTCCGCCAGGTCCATTCCCAGATCAAGCGCAGCGGCATCGACTCGAGGGATCGCTACATCGGCAACCTTCTCATCGGCGCCTACAGCAGCCATGGCGACGAGGGCGGCATCGCGGACGCCAGGGCAGTGCTCGCGAACCTGGCCCGCCCCAATGTCAAGTCGTGGAACATCTTGATCGCGGCGTGCGTGAGGCAAGGGCAAGAGCGCGCGGCGCTGGAGCTCTACGCGGCTATGAATTGCGAGGGAAGGACGCGCCCGGACGCGATCACGATGGTAAGCATCCTCAGCGCTTGCTCCATTCTGGGAGAGCTCGGCGCGGGGAAAGCTCTCCACGAGAGGATCCTCGCTGGTGGTTTTGATTCCAACGCGATCGTTGCCACGGCTGTGGTGACGATGTATTTCAAGTGTAGCAGCATCGATCGAGCGAGGGAAGCATTTGACGGGATGAAGAACAGGACTGTCGTGTCTTGGAACACGATGATCACAGCATATGCCCACAGAGGGGATTTTTTCCAGGCAATGTTTCTCTTTGAGAGCATGGATCTGGAGAGGGATTGCTTCACATACTCGGCGATTCTGGGTGCCGCAAAAGATCTCAAGACCGGAAGGAAAATCCACCAGATGATCTTGGGCTCTGGAATTCGCTTGGACGTGGCGGCTTTCAACGCTCTCGTGAGCATGTATGTGAGAGGTGGAAGCATGGGCGAAGCGAGAGAGGCTTTCGAGTCCATGACGATCAAAGACATCGTTTCCTGGAACGCTATGATCGCTGGTTACGTCCAGTTTGGCTATGGAGTCCCTGCGATCGAGCTCTACGAGAGAATGGTTTCGTCTCCTCGTAAGTTGTTTCTCTTTTCTTTATGCACTGTCTTCTTAGTTTTCATAGCTTGATCCAGAAAAGCCCAACGCGATCACTTACGCCAGCGTTCTCGCGGCTTGCTCGATCGCTGGAGATGCCACCAAAGGGAGAAAAATCCACAGCAAAGTCGCTGTTTCCGGGGCCTACGATTCTTCCATCACCGTCCAAAACGCGCTCGTCAACTTTTATGCAAAGTGTGGCAGCTTTGGCGAGGCCGAGTCAGTGTTCGGAAGAATGCGCTTCAGGGACTTGTTCTCGTGGAACTCGATGCTCGCGGCGTGCTCCAAGCACCAGAAGTGTGATGCCATGGAGCTCATCCTTCGGCAGCAAATCCTCGAGGGGTTCCAACCAGATCAAGTGAGCTACACGTGCATCCTCCACACTTGTTCTCACGTCGGGCTGCTACAGCAAAGCTTGGAACACTTTAGCTCGATGCTCCAGGATCACTATCTTCGGCCAGTTCCGGAGCACTACAGATGTGTTTTGGATCTCTTGGGACGAGCGGGGCTGCTTTACGAGGCCGAGGCTTTGATCCAGAGCATGCCATTCCAGCCGGATGGAGTTGCTTGGAAGTGTTTGCTCTCGGCGTGTAACAATCACGGAGATGCCGATCGAGGAGCCACCATAGCGAAGCAAGTTCTTCGTTCCGAGTCTGGGAGATCAGCTTCTTACATTCTCGTCTCCCAGACCAGGTGAAGAAGGCAAGGCAGTCAGCTCCGGCGCTTAGAGGTATTTCTCTTGTTATTTCTACTGATAGTTTGTGTTGTTTTTCAGGATAGCGAGAAAAGCCTCAAATTGTCATGAAGTTTTCAGGCATAAGGTCTGCTCCAATCTTCTATTGTTCTTGATTCTCTATACATAGAGAATCAACTGACTATATATATATAGTCAGTGTTTGCAGATAGCTGCGGGATGAGATCAAAATCTCGCAGGAACGAAAGGTACATTTACATTTGTAAGCATTTCTTTTGCGTTTCCTTCCTTTTTGTTTATTCCAGGTTCTCATAACATTGCTGTAGGAGAAACAAGACAGCGGGATTGTCATTGTGCTTCAAGTTTTCAATCACGCGTAATTTCCTACGTGACACGCCTTATAACTTCTTAGGACCGGGTTAGTTCGCCACAGTTTTCTTCCTCGGGACTGTTCATAACCAGGAGGTAAAGTTTTGCTATTTTTCAATCCAAGTCCGAAGCTACACTATATATCCGCGTAAATTTTTACTACTCTAAATTATTCATTTTCATTTTCTCCGCAATGTACTGAGAAAGACATTATTTTAAATCTTTTGAAATAATCATAGTAATAGGTTATTAAATAAATCGTATTGTTAATTTTTATGCTGATTAAAATATAAATTTCCAAAGTCATCGCATTTCCACATGGACTCCTTTGAAAATTCGAATGCTGTTCTTTCTCGCTTTGTGGCAGATTTTTAGTTAGCTGCCGTTTTCCCTGTAACGTTGTTTGCCGCACCAAAGCCCACTCACTTACAACAAGAAAACGTGTGGACGCCCCCTTAAAACGGGAGTGGTGCGCGAAAGAAAGATAAACGGTTTAATGGCAAGAATTGGGAGCTCCAACGAGGAGGCCTTTGCTCTTCTCGCAATCCTCGCAAGTGTTCTCACACTGCTCTTCACGCCTGCGACTGGATCGAGATCCAAAAATCCTCCCAATGCTGCGGCGATCGATCAATCTTTGTTGGTGGAGTTCCAGGAGGCCGTCCCATTCCGGGACGCGTACTCAATTCTTTGGGGCCACAGCAACGCCAACGAGCTGGAAGATGGAAAAAGCATCCAGCTCGTGTTGGATCGACACTCAGGTAGAACCCTGGAATTGGATATCAAGCTTCTAGAGAGTTTTTCTGAGAATTTCAACTTGCAGGATCGGGATTTAAGTCCAAAGAGGCCTTCCAGGGCGGATTCTTCAGCGCGTCCATCAAGCTCCCGTCAAACTACACGGCCGGGGTCGTGACAGCATTCTACGTAAGTGACAAGTAACATAGAAAAAGAAGAAGAAAACCAAAGTTTTCAAGTTTCGTACTCTTTCCAGGCATCGAATTCGGACAAGTTTCCGGATAGGCACGACGAGATCGACTTTGAGTTTCTGGGCGTCGTCCCGGGCATGCCGTACGTCCTCCAGACCAATGTTTACGGCAATGGAAGCGTGCGTACTGGACGGGAGGAGAGGATACGTCTCTGGTTCGATCCATCGCTGGAGTTTCATCGCTACAGCGTGTTCTGGAACCAACATCACATCGTGTAAGTTCTTCAAATCTCTCTTATGGTATATAAATAATCCAAGGAAAGTCAGAACTTACTCTTGAAGAGGTTTCAGGTTCTTCGTGGATGATGTTCCAATCCGGCAGATGATAAAGACCAAGGAGGCCGAAGATTACCCGTGCAAACCCATGTCTGTGCTCGCAACTATTTGGGACGGATCAAACTGGGCTACGTCCGGTGGAAAGTTTCCTGTCGATTACAATCGAGCACCATTTGTTGCAAGTTTCACCGGCCTCAAGCTTTTTAGGGACTCGTCAGTCTATAGCATCAACTACAGGATCAGTGAAGGAGAATTTGGCAAACAAGGTTTGAGCGGCACACAAAAGTCGAGGCTAGCTTGGGTGAGGCGCAAGTTTTTGAGTTACTCGTATTGCAACGATAAAATGAGGTATCCAAAACCATTGCCAGAATGCTGAAATTTTTGTTCATCAGCTCAAATATTCTAAGAATATTTCCCTCCTAAAACGACTAACTAATGCAATGGATATAGATATCCAAGAAAGCTATCTTTTTCTCGAGCACTACAGGTAAATCTGCTGAACCCCTGTAGAAGTCTCTGCTAGGGTAGGCTTTGCGTCCCTGCAGGGCTGGCGTCTGCTAGGGTGGGCTTTGCCTGGCGTCTGCACTTCCGAGTAGAGCAGACAGAATTATCACTATCAGCCCAGGCAAACTTGGGCAAATGATCTTAACAAAATAGAAGGTTAGGAACTAGTGAAATTGCCTAAATTGATTATGATTTTGTTACTTTGACTATTTGACTAAAATAATGTGGATCCACAAAGGTGTTGTAGAACTGGCTTTGGAATCCTTGAGTGCTGACGCTCCCAATAGCAGCATTCTCTTTCCCTAAAATCATACTAAAGCACACTATTGATTTCCCTAAAATCATCTAGCTTAAAGCTTTAAAAAACTATATAAAACTCATGAACCAATGGTAAATATTAAAACTATGTTTAATATATAATAAGTCTTGACATGAAAACATAAAAAAAGAAAGATTTAAAGGCTAACTAAAAGAACTACCATGCTAGAAACACTTCTAAAGCATTGTAAGGGATTCCATTCTTTGCATGTATGTCTATCTTAAATAAAACATACCTTAGTAAACCTCCCCACTTGTCAAACCTCTTGTCCACTTCAGTCTTTGGATGCTTGAACTCCCAATTGTTAAGCATGTGGATTTCTTATTGAGACTAAGTTGGGATGAAAAGCCTCATCCCATCATCTTGCCATAATTTTATGGGTCTGATTAGGTTGTTATAATGATCTTGCAAGATAGGCTTCAATAACCATCAATCTTCTAGTCTGTTAGGTACCACACCTTGCCTTCCTCTTCGGCCTCGACCAAGTCTGTAGCAAGCATAAGGTCAGTAGTGGATGTACAACAATGCTTTGCTCCCACTTATCAATCCCTAGAGTGCCACCACAACTATGGAAGATGTCAAGCAATTTGCCATAGCAACTCCTCACACACAACAGCAGCTCACGCCTTCTTGAGTATCATCAAAGGCAGTTACTTATGTCTTTGAAAAGGCTTTGAGTTGCTTGTAGTAGGTGTTAAAGATTTCTCTCACTGCCATCATGACTAATGTATAGGCCATTTTTCCTAAATTCTAACTAATCTAAACTAGAAAGTCTTTATTTATAATAGGATTTTGAATTTAAGTCTAGTTTGCAGCATTCTATAGAGCTTAACCTCCCATAGCTGTTAGATCTCAAGTTTAGGCTAGTGTCAAAAGAGATGCATTTAGAAAATAGTATAATGCATGTGATTATGGGATCATTAAATAATTGTCCCTTTTGCAATTAGCTTAAGAGGAAAGAGATAGGGTGCATTATATGTTAGAAAAAATGGCACAAGTTCAATTTTTATTGATTAGTGGCTATTTAAAATATAATATACTTTTAAGCAAAGTATATTCTTACCTCTAAAATTGAAATCATACATATTAGACATTCATAAGTACGTCCTTTATCTTGTATGGACAAAAGCACCGATTATGGGGTTGGTATGGGTGGATGACTAATTACTTTATATAGAATAACTAGTTTATATAACAGAAAGATTGGTAGATTTAATGTGGAAATGGAGGTGTTGATTCTTCTTGGTTCAGTAAGGGTTGTTAGTCAATAATCAATGAGGACATTAGCATATCTAAAGAGGGGTGAGTGTAGCATATGTAATCATGGGATAAAATTTAAATATGTTATCACTGTGGCCTATGCCAACCTTAATCAATTGAAAAATAGAATGTATAAGTTTTTATTTGAACCTTATATAGATCATTTTTTGAGTCATTTTTTTTTTGTTGCTTACAATCCACCACATTCCTTGCAAATTCATGCCCTCATGAACATAATTTAAAAGCTATAACTCTCTTGAGAGCTCTACACTTTTGACATCCTACCCCTCAGGTCAAGTCTAACCAAAGGCAAAATAGATTTATTAGATGTCAATCTCAACATATAGTGTGATTCCTCTAGTTAACCAACAAGTTGGACTTGAGATTGCACTAATGTCAAATATAAACTCCTAAATTTGAACTTCTTGGAAAAACACCCAACCTAATACTACTCAAATCTAAGAATATTTAACTCTAAATATCCCAAGACTTTAACCAATTGAAAAAAATAATACATTTTTATTCATAAGCCCTTTCCCTCTATATTTGAACCTTTATTGATCATATATTAAATTTTTTTCTTTGGTTGCTTAGTCTTTATAGTTTGTTAAGCTTTCTAATCTCTAGTGAAATCACTTCCAAAAGAAGAAAGTTTCTAATCAAGTGTAGATATTAATTTAGCAATCAAATGAATAAAAAGGAAATGACTTACAAAGCTTATACACCCATGTTGGTATGTTGGTAAGGAATCACTCAATAGCAAAGCTTCATTCTTAATCACAACTAAGGTAGCACTATTGACATTTAGCTTAAGCCTTCAACAAGCTTTGTCATCATTAATGGGTTGCATGCCCAATGGCTCATAATATTGTAATCTAGAGCAAGCAATGGAGTTGACCTAAAAGCTATCACATCTGTATTTTTCTCATGACAAGCCAAGCCCACCATCTATTGGCTGCCAAAACATTAGTCAATATTTATAGCATACTTTATCTTTGTCCCTTAAAGTGGCTATTTTATCCCTAATTATCCCCCAAGGTTCTAAGGATTTGTTTTGAATATTATTAGGTTGGATGACCTCTTTAGGAAGTCCAAATTCAAGAAGTTTACATATAAGCTTTTGGTTTATTGACATCTGGTAAATTTATTTTGCCTTTGGTTAGGTTTGACCTGAGGGGTAGGGTGTCAAAAGTGTAAAGTTCTCAGGAGAGTTATGGCTCTTAGATTATGTTCACGAGGGCGTGAATTTGCAATGAATGTGGTGGATTGTAAGCAACAAAAAAAAATGACTCAAGAAATTATCTATATAAGGTTCAAATAAAAACTTATATATTCTATTTTTCAATTGATTAAGGTTAGCATAGGGTTTGCTCCCTTGTTCGTTTTATTGGTATCGGAGCATTAGGTTTGAATATTATTGGGTTGAATGACCTTTTAGGAAGTCCAAATTCAAGAAGTTTACATATAAGTGTAAGCGACTAAATTTTCCATTCTACTTTAGTCACTTAACCACACCTCCGACCACTTGGAGGAGTCTTACTCACAACCTCCATAAGTCCAATCCAGGACTTGGGACTTGCTAGCCCTGAGAATGGCATCCATGCCACTCAACATTTGCACTTGGTCCAAGTGCTCCACGTGTCCGATCCCATGACCGACACTCAAAGGTACCACCGACATAGCAGCCCGTTACGCTAAGGCCATGCCCAATCACCTTTGCCACACTGGTAGTCCAATACCACTTGCATCACAGTCTTGGCTATCCAAGACTAGGCAAACCATCTGTGAGTGGTCATCTCAGATCCACTCCTTAGCATTCTTAGGATGCCCACCGACAAGGGGAATAGCCTTCCCCAATATCCCTCTGTCAATCCCCACTAAGTCCCTTTCTGCCCCTGGCCGTGTTTGCCAACACTGCCACTGGATCGAGACCCACAGGCCCGACCACTAAGTCCCACGGTCCTCTGGGACTTCCTCACCACACGACTGTGTCTTTGGTCACTACCCCAGAGGATTGCTCCACTTCCTTTCCACAGTCTGGGTCTTTGGGACAACATTTCGGAACACCGTGGCCTTACGCGAGCCACCTAGGTACTCTCCTCGCCTTCTGCCCTTGGGTGCTCTAGCCATGGGCTTAGAGCGGGGTTCCGTTGAGCCACACCAGGTATCCAAGTAGGTAGTGCCACCCACATTTGGACTGGGAGCATCGGCCAGTCGATCTCCCGGGGGAACTAGAGCCGGCTCTTGAACACTTCACCAAGCTACCCCGCTTGTCGGTCCGTGTTCACTCTAGTCTTGGACTTCACAGTGGGCATCTCATCACCCAACACTGGGTCCGGCCTTCCTGGGCCAAATTGGCCTTTCCTGGCCAAACTGGCTCCACTGCAGTCCTCCCCCCTACTATACTTTTGGAGCTCACCAAACCCCCCAGGGTCTGGGAGACGAACGCTTTGGGCTTTCACCCTCTCAGACTCGAACTCGGACTCGGACTCGGACTCGAACTCGAACTCGGACTCGGACTCGGCCTCGGCCTCGGTCCCGGTCCCGATCTCGGTCTCGGTCTCGGTCTCGGTCCCGATCTCGGTCTCGGTCTCGGTCTCGACTTCGGACTCCATCTCGGGTCCATCTCGGACTCCATCTCGGGTCCATCTCGGACTCCATCTCGGGTCCCATCTCGGACTCCATCTCGGGTCCCATCTCAGACTCCATCTCGGACTCCATCTCGGGTCCATCTCGGACTCCATCTCGGGTCCATCTCGGACTCCATCTCGGGTCCCATCTCGGACTCCATCTCGGGTCCCATCTCGGACTCCATCTCGGACTCCATCTCGGGTCCATCTCGGGTCCACCTCGGACTCCATCTCGGACTCTATATCGGACTCTATTTCGGGTCCATCTCGGACTCCATCTCGGACTCCACTTCGGGTCCATCTCGGACTCCATCTTGGGTCCGCCTCGGACACTTCCACGTGTCATGTGTTGGTCCTTTCGGGTCCCTTTTTAGAGCCTCGCTTATGGCTTGCTTCGTGCTCATTCCTCGAGCACTTTGTTGGGAGTTCCACTCCCGCTCTCGACCTTTCAAGTCGGAGCTTTTAGTCCCAACGTGTTACGCTCGTTTGGTTTTCGCTTCGGCCACTACCACGTGGCACCCTTCCAGCTCCACTTTGGGGCCTAGGGATTTTGTGTCTCACAATAAGCTTTTGGTTTATTGACATTTGGTAAGTCTATTTGCCTTTGGTTAGGCTTGACTTGAGGGGTAGGGTGTCAAAAGTGTAGAACTCTCAGGAGAGTTATGGCTCTTAGATTATGTTCATGAGGGCGCAAATTTGCAAGGG